CTGTAGAAGACATAGACGTCTTATTCTATATTTTGGCTTTTCATATATAGAAGGTCTTCTATCAATGACCTCGATATGGCACATCATAACGTCTTCTTTCAGCAAAAAAAAAAATACAGTAGTTTAACGTACTTAAAATCTCCTTTAACCTATGTATCACCTTGAGTTTTCATACCCTACACAACTATGTTATCAGGGTATTATAGCTTTGTGCAGCCCCAAAAGTTTATAACGCCGCGAAATAATGGTCCTAGACCCACCTTTAAGTATACCGATCGTCATATCTCGACTAGCTGAGCCGATCTAGACATGTGTGTCCGTCCGTCCGTCCATCTGTCCATTTTAATTTGTCAACACGATACCGGCCACAGTTATGGACCAATCTTCACGAAATTTTGCATGTAGTATGGGTTCTGGTCAATGAAGACCCCTATTGTTTTTGGAAAAGATTGGTTAATATTTAGGGGATAAAATGGACAAAAAACTTAATTTTTCGGTTTTTCAGGTCGCTCTTAAGGCCGCAATTATGGCCCAAACACCGCGAATTTTAGCATGGAGAAGTGGATCGGGCCAAAGAATAAGTTTGCCTGTTTTGATATAGATCGGTCAATATTTAGCGGGTCAAATGGACCCTGAATGTCCTCGAGAAGTTAATAGTATATTCAAGAGGAGTGGTTGACCTTTAAATTGATACTAATTATATGGACGTACGTATTCGGATGTGGGAGTTACATAAATATTTACGGGTGCTTACATACTGAGATATTATTTAGCGCTGACCGCTTTGAAATTTTCCATGAGATTCACGTTATGGTCAAGGACAACGCCTATATATTTCGGTGATGATCACATAATCATTTTGGAATGAAATGGACCGAAAACATAATTTTTTGTGTTTTTTTTTCGAGTCAATCTATTTTTTGAGTCAATCTATCTATTGAAAGTCGAACATCACAACACAACCCACGGTGAAGGGAATATGGACAAGTAATTAGAAGGACTGAATATTAGTAATATTCGGAAAATATGTCAGTGTAAGCAAAAGGTGCTGTTGATCTCTAATCGACAAGAAGGTGCAAATATCAGAAATATTGCCCAGGTTCGAAATAAACATCAGCAGAAAGTTAGAGTTCCGTGATAGTTGTATAGGTTATCCTATGGTCGGCTCCGTGCGACTATACTGCTCCGCTCACTAGTTTTTCTCTAGATCAATTCGACAAAAATGTCAAAATTTCATATGAAGCTAATGGAATGATCGATTTAATCCCCACATTGCAAAACCCATTCACGACCGAAGAAAACATCCATTGGTCTTTCTAGCACCTCTCCCACGAAGGATCAAAAATGTAGAAAACTTGTAAATTTCATATGAATTGAATCGAGTATCCTCTGTGATCCAAACCTAGCTGACGATAATATTTATAACAAAAGATTTAAAGCGACGCATAATTAATGGTACCTCCCCGACAAAAGTCAGGGTTAGTGTATAATAAATACGATATGTAAATATAAGCATCTAAGGGCCTTCTTCTATACTTCATTTCCAATCGAAAAAAAAAACTTTTTTTATAAAAAATGTAGTTGAGAGTCCTTAAACATAAAATTTTTGAAATTTGTTTAATTTTCCAAAATTAATGATTCTATCCCTTTAAATTTATTTAAAAAAATCCATGCATGCCAAATTTCCCTTTAAATATTCCCAAATACCATCATCTAAAGCTCCCCTTGGAATAAAAAAAAATATCTCCCTGACTAATTGTGTAGTGAATGTAACTTAAATGCCGTTGACCTATCAGATATCCGATATATGAGTTATCTCTTAATTGGACGTTTATTTAACAAATAAATAAACAAAATTATTTAATTATTGACCTTGTGTGCGCGCGACTCCCATATAACTTGCCATACTCCGCCCTCCAGAGGCTTTTCTCGATTGACGGATGTGCGATTGTGTATCTGTGTTTTACGATAAACTTTGCTAAATTATATGAAGAAGTCTGAGAAGAAGAAGAAGAAGAAGAAAATACTCAGTTCGGGATTTAGTTGCTACCACTTGTTTAAGAATGTAGCAACTTGATAAGAACTACAATGCTCACTCACACACACACAGCCACACTCAAAGAAGAAATAAAAACAAGTATCCGAAACAATGGTAAACAAGTGTAGATAAACAAAATTGAACGGAAACGCAATACTTGTAGCTAAAAGTCGTAGTAAGACCATGTTCAGCATTTTGTTAAATGTGTGTATATCAAGGATCATGATAAGGAACTTGAAAGACTTAAAGAAAAAAATAGAAGACGACGGCAACGACCATGGCAAACAAAGCATTCTTTGAGTTCTGGCCAACCACAAATCCACACATACACACACCCGGGCATACATATCGCACAGTAACAGAAACTAAACAAACAAATCTACATTTGTCCTTCAATGTAGTTTTGCCGAACATTCCCTCGTTTCCTGTAAAGGAAAAATGTTTGCAAAAAAAAAAAATCGAAAACAATTTTGTCCTTAAACTCAACTATTTTTATGTTAGAAAAAAACAAAACTTTTTGATACAATTATCCTATTTATTCGGAAGACTGACCTTCTTCTATGACTGATTTATTAGAATCGTTGTTGTTGACTGCCGTACGGCGGACCGGACATTTTAGTTTGTGTACAACTTATAGTATTTTTTGTAACTAATTGCAAAAAGCTGGCCAAGAACTACAACAACAACTAAAATGGGCTATACGAAATTGTTAAGAGAATGTCAAGAAGACATCTTTCTCGTATATTCAATTAGGCTGAAATAGAAAGAAAGGCGAACTTAAGGAAGGAAATGAACAAGACATCGGATACGGAATGAAGATGAAGAAGGTCGTCCTGTCACGATATCCCGGGACACAAACACCATTGTGTTTCATTTCTTTTAAGGAACATAGATAAGGAGATGAAAACAAGATTACTTATTTTTGAATAATGAAACATGTTTACCTTCAAATCACATTCAGAACTTCAATAAAAAGACTTTCTAACTTCAATAAAAAGACTTTCAGAAAAGACGCCTATGGCCGATATAATCCGATGCCTCACTGATTGTGGACCTACAGATTGCGGAAGCCCAATATATGTTTTTGGGTATCTGCAAATTCAACAAGCAGTGGCGGATCTAAGGGGCTAGTCTCAGAATTAATCACCCGGTGGCTATGATCCTTAGACTGTCGAGACGAATATTGCCGTCCCTAAACTAATCACTGATCATGGATTTCTAGTTTCCTACCATGAATGATGAATCTCTGGGAAACACGTTCGCCTTAGGAAACACCTCAAAACTTGCGTGGAAAGAAGCCATACAGGTTCAAAAGGTTTTCTATAGAAGACCAAAAGATCTTCTGTTATAGAAGACCAGGAGCAGAACTATAGAAGACCAGAAGGTCTTCTTCTATAGAAGACCAGAAGGTCTTCTCCTATAGAAGATCTGAAGGTCTTCTCCGATAGAAGATCAGAAGGTCTTCTCCTATAGAAGATCAGAAGGCCTTCTCTTATAGAAGACCAGAAGGTCTTCTTCTATAAAAGACCAGAAGGTTTTCTTTTATAGAAGACCCGAAGGTCTTCTTCTATAAAGGTCTTATCCTATAGAAGATCAGAAGGTCTTCTTCTATAGAAGACCCGAAGATCTTCTCTTATAGAAGACCTGAAGGTCTTCTCCTATAGAAGATCAGAAGGTCTTCTCCTATAGAAGATCAGAGGGTCTTCTCCTATAGAAGATCAGAAGGCCTTCTCTTATAGAAGACCAGAAGGTCTTCTCCTATAGAAGACCAGAAGGTTTTCTTCTATAGAAGACCCGAAGGTCTTCTTCTATAGAAGACCAGAAGGTCTTCTCCAGAAGACCAAAAATTCGTCTTCCTTAGTAGACCAGATTGTCTTCTTCTGCAGAAGACCAAAAGGTATTTTTCTGAAGACCAGAAGGCCTTTTTCTGCAGAAGACCAAAATTTATTCTTCCTTAGTAGACCACATCGTCTTCTTCTGCAGAAGACCAAAAGGTATTTTTCTGCAGATGACTATAGAAGATCAGAACGTCTTCTTCTATAGAACACCAGAAAGTCTTCTTCTGAAGACCATACTATATCAGTCCAGAAGGTCTTCTTATATAGAAGACTAGGTCGTCTTCTTCTAATGAAGACCAGAAGATCTGCTTCTATAGAAGACCGGAAAGTCTTCTGCTGTAGACGGACAGAAGGTCTTCTCCTATAGAAGACCAGAAGGCCTTCTTCTGCAGAAGACCAACAATTCTTCTTCTGTAGTAGACCAGATTGTCTTCTTCTGCAGAAGACCAAAAGGTATTTTTCTGCAGATGACTACAGAAGATCAGAACGTCTTCTTCTATAGAAGACCAGAATATATTCTTCTATAGAACACCAGAAAGTCTTCTTCTGTAGAAGACCATAGAGGACTATATCAGTGCAGAAGGTCTTCTTATATAGAAAACTAGGTCGTCTTCTTCTAATGAAGACCAGAAGATCTGCTTCTATAGAAGACCGGAAAGTCTTCTTCTATGGACGGACAGAAGGTAATTTTCTATAGAAGATTAGAAATATTATTATATAGAAGACCAGCAGGGTTTCTTTTATAGATTACCAGAATGCCTTCTTTTATAGAATACAAATGACCTTCTTCTTAAACAAAAAAAAAAAAAAAACAAAGCCTCCCTCTATAGAAAACCTGAAAGTCTCTTTCTATAAAGTACCAAATGGTATTCTTCTATAGAAATCCAGAAGGTACTCTTCTATAAAAACCCAGATCTTCAACTATAGAAGATCACAATATCTTCTTCTGTTGCAGACCAAACTACACATATTATTTTATAGAACACCAGAAGTTCTCTGTTATTCTTCTCTCATATGGAAGATCACAAAACCAAAAATTGGGTCAAATCTCCTTTGACCTCTAAATCACATTGACTTTTTATTTTCTCTATTAGTAAAAAAAATATTTAAAATCAAAAACTTACATTCTTTATTTTTATCCATTTGTGGTTGCAGGGGACTGGAATCGACAATTGCCTTGGGCGGCGATTGCCGTGGATCATAAAAATCGGAATTTGTGGCGTCATCACTGCTACTGATGCCTCCCAGAAATGATGCATTTAAACGTTGTTCGCCTATAAAGACACAATAGAAACACACACACACATACAAAAGAAAATTAGAAAAATTCCAAAATTCAAATATTTTTGGACTCACCCTCTGACATATCGTCGTAGGCTTCCTGTAATAATATGACGTCTTGAAATGTCTGCTCAAAGCCTGCCTTGCCACTCAGTTGGGTGGCGTTCAATAGACCGTTGCAGGACGAATCCGACGATATAAGTTCGAAGGTGGTTGCCGAGCCGGGCGATGAGAATGTTGCAAGTAACGAACCACCACTGAGACTATGCACTGATGGTGATTTTGGAATTACACGGGTAATTGTTGTTGCTCCCACTGCGCTGGGTATGTGGGCGGGTAGCAACGTGGCTGTTGAGTTTGTGGTTATGGGCTTCAAAGTGACTGTGTTCGCGGCGGTACCTGATGTCACCGTTATGCTAGTGGTTGGCAATGATTTGGCAATTGAGGAGGTGTTGGAGGTGGTGGTGGCGTTGTTGGAGATTTTCGGTGTCTTTATTGGAGGATTGGAAGATTTTTTCGTTGAGACTGTTGCCGCAACAGACGATGCCTTCGATTTGTTTGATAACGAAGACTTCGATGACGACGAGGACGATGATGATGATGACGACGACGAGGACGATGAAGAGCAAGAAGAGGATGATGAATGGCTGGATTTGGTTATCGAAATTGGTGGCTTAGAGTTTGAAATTGTTTGACTAACACCGGCACCACTAACGTTGCTGGTACCGTTCGTTGCTGCTGCTGTTGTTTCTGCTACTACTCCCCCTCCGCCAACTACTTGCTGTTGAGAACTTTGGGAATTTTTCGATGAGATCGTTGAATGTGAATTACCCGAACAGTTAGAGGTCACACTCGATGCTGGCGATGCTGACGAAGATGATTGGGATGAACAGGCGGCGGCGTTGGCTGCCAGCAAAGTTGTTGCTGTTGTTCCGTTCAACTGATGCAAATGGAGTGTATTCTGTGGGTGGCTCAAAAAACTTGGATGATGGTGATGTTGGCCCGTGGATGCCGAGGTATGTAAATAACCACCGCTCGTGTCAATTGTTATGGGTGTCACGCAAATCGTATTATTTAGCAGATTTATGCTGCCGTTGCGGTTCACGTGGCCGTTACCGTTGCTTGCTGCAGTTGTTGTTGTGATGGTAAGACCGTTGATATTATTACCGTTAAGGATTTTATTGGTGTTGTTCTTGCTGCTGGTGTTGTTGTTGCTGCTGCTGGTGGTATTAAAGATGGTCGGATAGTGATAGGTGTGTTGATTACGCCTGTAATTGCTATTGCTAATGGTAATGGTGTTGAGGCTATGGTTGTATGCCTTGATACGATTGATGTGATTGGCTGTGGTCGTCAAATGTTTGGCGCCGGAACTGCTACTGACAACCGTTGTGCCTGTGGCACCTGCTGACGTCTGCTGAAACCAACTGGGGAAACTGCCCTTGAGCGTGTCAATAAGATCCTGATCGAGCGTTAAACGCCACGATGCAGGGCCGTCCACGCCGTGCGTAGACTCTGAAATGGAAAAAAGAGAAAGAAATATATTAAAAAAAACTGATTCTCTATAGAAAATTATGAAATGTTTGTGAACTATGGAAATATTTTTTGGCAAATATCAAGAAATGGTGGCAGAAATATATTAGAAGTTAAAAAAAATTGGAACTGTTAAAATATGTACTTTAAAACTCTACGCATTGTGCAGCTCTTGAAAAAATATTTTTTTTTAAAACCCCCCGTCTTGTGTAACTCTTGAAAAAAAAATTCTTTAAAAATTAATGCCTTGTTTGGCCCTTGAAACCAATATTCGTTAAAAACCCACTCCTCTTGTGGTCGTGGATGATGAAATGATTCTTGGAAAACCACGTCTTGTAGAGTTCTTGAAAAAAATATTCTTTAAAATCCAAGACTGTATGATGTTTGAAACAAATATTTCCTTTAAAAAAATCTACCCATAAAAAAGTAAAATCCCCCCCGATTATTTTATATCTCCTTCGAATTGAAATATTTTATCACCAGATAAATTGAAATAGCTGATCATTTCCGATTCCCATTATTTGGCACACATTTTCGTTAATGACCCACCACAAAATGCAAATATCAAAATGAAAAATTAACTAATTTTTCGTCTGCGTTGTGAAATGTCTGTGCGGCAATGCAATTTCGCCGCAAAGGTGTTGAAATCGAATCACTTAAGTGTGTTGTCATATGGGGATACTAACAGGTTATGGTCCATAAGCAATGTTAGTGTGGCGTAAATTCAGTTGAATAGCGAAATGTTTGAGACAAAATGCACATGCGATACGGTCAGAAGCACAATGATTTTGAAAAATTAGGATAGTTTCTTTTGCAGAAGATTTGTGTGTCGATATTGAACTGAAAACAAAAAAAAAACTATATTATTTGAAAATATCTTCGACTTTTTTGTACTAGAATATTGGCCTTGCCTTTTAAATATAACCAATTTCATTTAATTATATTTGCTTATTAATTAGTTAAAGATTACAGAATTTGTTGACCCATTTCCTATGCCATCAAAAGAGACCTTTGCTTTTCTTTTGAAATTTTATATTTAGCTCTGGGAATTTATTTTCCCTTCCATCTCTATGACAATAGATCACGGCCATTGTATTTTAGTTTTTTTTATTTTTCTTTTTTCCCTAACAATCACGTGACATGGTGTTTTGTTTGTTTCTAAAATGTTTGGCATTTGTCAATAGTATTTGGCAAAGCAGAATGTTTTTTCTTTGCTTGTTTGGGTTTTGGGTTAATTAATGGCGCCTTGTATTCAATCATCTCAGCAGCTGTCTTCACTTTGGCCACAATTCACAAAACAACAAATCACAACAATGGATAACAATTTGTGAGTATTATTTTGGCAAAATAATATTAACTGACCTACTTAGGGATATATGTCATGTGTGTGTGGGTACATACAAATTTGCATGTGTGTACAGATGAAGGATAACTATATTAGTAATGATGAACAATGAATATCTAATGATTGCAGAGTCAAAGGAAATTTTTCAAAGAAGATAATTTCACTACTTAAATTCTTATTTTGTTCATTTTTGAAAACACAGACAATAGAAATTGTTTAGGATATTTTAATTTACACCTTACAAGGTCCTTGAAAAACTATAATTAAAAAAAATCAAACCTTGAAAAAATATAACTTAAAAAATCACACCTTACAAGGTCCCTGCAAAAATATGATTTAAAAAGCTACGGCTCGAAAGGTCCTTTAAAAATATGACTTAAAAAGCTACGGCTCGAAAGGTCTTTTAAAAAATATTATTTAAAAAAACCACAAAATTCAATGTCCTTGAAAAAATATAATTACAAAATATTATGTAAAAAAACCACGCCTCAATAGGTCCTTAAAAATATAATTAAAGAAAACAACGCCTTACATGGTCCTTGAAAAAATAGAATTTAAAACCAATAAGGAAAGTAGTAAAGTCGGACAGGGCCGACTTTATGATGCCCTTCACCACATTGGGTGTATCCAAAAGATCCATTGACACGTTTCGTGTCAACCAGTGCAACTCCAACGAACATACAAATGGGAGCATTATTATACCCTACACAACTATGTTGTCAGGGTATTATAGCTTTGTGCAGCCCCAAGAGTTTGTAACGCCGCGAAATATTGGTCCAAGACCCACCTTTAAGTATACCGATATCTCGACTAGCTGAGTCGATCTAGACATGTGTGTCCGTCCGTCCGTCTGTCCATTATATTTTGTAAACACGATACAGGCCACAGTTATGGACCAATCTTCACGAAATTTTGCATGTAGGATGGGTTCTGGCCAATGAAGACCCCTATTCTTTTTGGTAAATATCGGTTAATATTTAGGGGATGAAATGGACCAAATACTTTTTTTATCGGTTTTTCTGGTCGCTCTAGAGGCCGCAATTATGACCCAAACATCGCGAATTTTTACATAGAGAAGGGGATCGGGCCAAAGAATAAGCATGCTTGTTTTGATAAGGATCGGTCAATATTTAGCGGGTCAAATAGACCCTGACTTTTGTGTGAAAAATTACAAAATTTGTATTCTATAGCGTATAGATTTACCCCTGAAGGACATATACCCGAAAAGTTGTTGGTATATTCAAGGGCAGTGGTTGACCTTTAAATTGATACCAATTATATGGTCGTATGTACTAAGATGTGGGAGTTACACTTAAACATTTACAGGTGCTTATGTATTCAGATATTATTTAGTAACCCTTTAGCACACTAGAGGGCGGAAATATAACGCTCATCGCTTTAAAATGTTCCATGAAGTTCCAGTTATGGTCAAAGATAACGCCTAAAATTTTCAGTGACGATCAGATAATTATAGTGTGATGAAGTGGACCGAAAACTTAATTTTTTATGTTTTTTTCAAGTCGATCTATAGGCTCCAATGTGAATAAGAACATCACAACACAAGGGAAGGGAATCTGGACAAGTAATGAGAAGGACTGTACTGAACATTAGTAATAATTGTCGGCCTCTAATTGGTCCAGATGGTTTAAATATCGCGAAATATTGCCCAAGCTCAGAATATAGATCCACAGAAAGTTAGTTTTTCGTGGAAGTTGTGTAGGGTATCATATGGTCGGCCCCATCCGACTATACTACTCCGCTCACTGGTCTAAATCCGAATCGATTTCAAAAACAAAATATGTCAATCGTAAAAACTTTGGTTCTTTAGTGCACACTTTACATAAAATCGGACGAAACTATATATGGGAGCTATATCTAAATCTGAACCGTTTTTCACGAAACTTAGCACACATCACTCTAAACTTAATTCCGTACGCTGTGTCAAATTTCGTGCAAATCGAAAGATATATAAGGACTTTGGTACACCATTTACATAAAATCGGACGAAACTATATATGGGAGCTATATCCAAATCTGAACCGATTTTCACGAAACTTAGCACACTTCATTCTAGACTTAATCGAGTACGATATGCCAAATTTCGTGCAAATCGAAAGATATATAAGGACTTTGGTACACCATTTACATAAAATCGGACGAAACTATATATGGGAGCTATATCTATATCTGAACCGATTTTCGCGAAACTTAGCAAACATCACTCTAGGGTTAATTCGGTACGCTGTGTCAAATTTCGTGCAAATCGAAAGATATATAGGGACTTTGATGCACCATTCACATAAAATCGGACGAAACTATATATGGGAGCTATATATAAATCTGAACCGATTTTCACGAAACTTGGCACACTTCATTCTAGAATTAATCGAGTACGCTATTTCAAATTTGGTGAACCATTTCCATAAAATCGGACGAAACTATATATGGGAGCTTTATCTATATCTGAACCGATTTTTCCCAATTTCAATAGGGTTCGTCATTGGGCCAAACATGTGACCTATAGCAACTTTCATCCAAATCGGATCATAAATACGACCTGTACTTTGTTTACAATTTAACATGGGCAGACAGACGTACGGACGGACGGACATGCATAAATCTAAATAAATGTGATTCTATGTATATTCTCAAAAGGAGCCGTGTGTCTATCTCGTTTCCTTTTGCCGGTTACAAACATATGCACAAAGACATAATACCCTGTAACATGGTGTGGTGAAGGGTATAAAAAATCACGCCTTACAAGGTCCTTAAAAATATATAATTAAAAAACATGCCTTACAAGGTCCTTGAAAAAATATAATTAAAAAAACAATGTCTTACAAGGTCATTGAAAAAATGTTCTTTAAAAAACCACACCTCGAAAGGTCTTTAAAAAATATTCTTTAAAAATCCAGGAATCGAAAGGTCCTTAAAGAATGTTATTTAAAAATCAATATTTATAAATTCGCCTCTTTAAAGGTCTTTGAAAAAATATTTGTTTAAAAAGAAACCCCAGCCTTAAGAGATCCCTTCAAAAATATTTTTTGTTTAAACCATGCCTTATCATGTCCTTAAAAAATATAGTCTTTAAACACTGCCTTATTATATTAGGTCCTTGGAAAAAGATTTAAAGATTTCAATTAATGATTAAAAAATATATTTTTAAACCACGCCATGTATTATTTTTAATCGGTAATATGCTCCCTTTATATTAAATTATATTCCCTCTTATTTTGAAAGTTGTATCAAAGGCACAAATAAGCTCATGATAGAATTTGACGACAACAACAAAATACGCCCCATATAATAGCATAAAATTGCTTCATAGCTTGGCTCTAATCCGCTTATAGTTGTCAACGAAAAACTAAATTCCGTTGGATCTGCACATATGTACAAATACAAATATATTTATAGACAGGATTGTACTACTAAATATAAAATCAACAGCATCACAAAAACCCAACAAAAAGAAAAACACTTAAATTTAACCCCAAAAGAGAAAAATGCGATTGTGTTTTATTCGCGTCGCTGTTGTTGTTGTTGCTTTTCTTATGATGCAACATTTAAATGGGATATTGCATCAGCAGAAAATGAAATGAAATAAAAAAAAATTGACAAACGATTTGTGTAATACAGC